AATTCCTGGGATCAGCAAATCTCTGTGTTATAAGTATGTGCAATTACAGATATTGTTCTTTGATTTTAGCTTTCATTAGCATATTATCTGAAGTGCTGTATTTTTGAAAAGGCTTTTAGTTTCTAAAGATTTGGCAGTAATCAAAAAGCTAGTTAAGCTGATAAGGATGGAGCCTTCGGCAGATGTTTAGAAAAACTCACATTTCTAATAAGGATGTTGGGAGGAACTTGCAGACAAATGCACTCTGGAGATAGCTCCTCTCATTAGCCCTTGGCAAATGAAAACTGGACAAGGATTCCCTCTCTCCACTAAATCTCTTGCTAACTATCTTTGTTCCCCTAGGTTAATGAGCTTATTTGAAATGTTCCAACTGCCAAAACAACTCTGCCATGTGGAGTCATCTTGAGCTTCCTTGACAGCCCAAGCTTTGCTCCCAATCTGGCCCAGTTGCTAGGGTTCCCCATGTCAGTGAATGCATGATAGGAAGCATTGGTTCTTGTTGGTCAGATCTGGGTAGCCAAGGCCTATTTAAGAAAGAAAAAGTCTTTAATCAAGGTCTATGCCAAAAGGAATCAAGCACAGGAAAGAATAAGGGACTGGAAGTGTTAAAGTAAGACGAGGGGTAGAAACTTGTGGATACTTGATCAGCTTTGGAGATCAAAGCCCAAAATACTATCTCTGCACAAAGGAAATGGTTACTATATCCTTGGAAAGTGACACTTTTTCTCTTCTTCTAGGAATAGAACATGTTCTCAGGCTTGGTTTTCTAGAAGAGATGATATCTTAGCCCTGGTTCTTTAGGTCAGAAGTACATGTATATAATGTGGGTGCCCAGCTTTGGATGGTGCTATGCAGTGGTACCCTGATCTAAAACAGCTTGCTGCAAGGTTAATTGGTCCTTAATGACTTTGGACCAATAACCTTGACTTTAACCCAATCTAAACTCTTACCAAACATCCAAGCTCCTTAAACTCTTCCACACAGAGAGAGGATGAAGGGGAAGGAACTGATGTTTATTCAGCCTCTACATATTCCAAGTCCTGTGCTAGATGTTAAGAATATCCTTTGAAAAACTCACGGCTCAGTAGAGAAGATGAATGTATTATCCAACGTTTTCCAAAAATGCAAAAAGTACTTAAATGGAAGTTTATTCAAGGAGTTGTCAAAACAATTTTTTTAAAAAAAAGGCCTAAGTCTATGTAAGAATATCACATCTTGTGAGAAATAAAAAATATTTTTTTCTCCAATTTTACAGATAAATAAAACGAGGCTTAGAGAGAGAGGTTAAGTGAATGACCATCAAACTTTCTGGCTATAAATCTACTTTCCTCTAATGACATGCTCTGCTTCCTACATGAAAATTAAGCAGGTTTTAAACCAGATCAGTGTTTCTCAAACTTCTGTCAACTTCAAATCATCAAAACCAATGAGATGAAGCTTCAAGAAGAATGTAGTAATGACATGTAGACATTATTAACTTAAGCCTCTTCCAAAGCAATGATAACCAAGAAATCAAGATTTTGTTGAGCTACCATGTGCTTTTTCATAATGAGCTATTAAAATAGAATGCTTATCTAGGTTAACAAAGTTGATTCCCTGGGTGACACAAATAGTCAAGCACTCAAGTACTAACGGAAAGGTTTGAACCCACCCAGAAGTGGTCACAGTCATGATAACTCTTTGGAGCAGTTCTACTCTGTATACATGAGGTTGCCATGAGTTGGAATTGACTGCTTTGGTTTGCTTTCGGTGTAGTAATATAAAATGTTAATTCATTTTCCACTTTAAATTATCTTCTGTGCCCAACCGGAAAACCTAGCCCACTGTGCAAAGGACTGGCCTGGATAATTTAACAGGCTCTTACCATCCCTGAAATACCAGGACTCCCCCCGCCCCCGCCCCAGATTCTTGCATGGTTAGGTTTCAAGGAACCCGAAGTAACCAGAAATTCATCCAGAATCCAAAAATTTAAAGGCTCTTTCTTATTTTGAATCAACCCAAATTTGGCTTAGTATAAGGAGAGGTTAAGGAAGGAAGGTTGGAAAATTCAAGGGCCTGACATAGCTAACTTTATGTTCTCCTTCCATGATAGCCTAAATTCCAAATAAAAATCTAAAACTTCATGCAGCTGGTAAAAGAAAACATTCCCCCACTGTGCTTCATAAGTGATTTATGCAAAAGCCTTGGTTTCAGCCAGCCTCTTGAAATTGTTTTTCTCCTCCAATAAATATCAGCTAATTGGTAAAGAACCCATATGAACAAAGAAGGAATTGAATCAAATGAATAGTCATTAAGATCAACACATCATTTTCATTAATTTGCTGCTGTTGAATGGCGTCCAGTGTTGTAGAAAGACCTCTTGTGGTGCACAGTATCCCTCCCTCAAGTTTAGATCTTTATGAAATGCTTCATGAATGGAAAGGTCTCTAATTGTGAGACAGAATGCCACAGGGAGGGAGGCAGTGAGGGGCGAAGGGACAAAACTGGTTGTTTAGTTAGGAGGAAAACTGAAACCATGGAAGACTGGCCTTGAATTATAGCTTCTTTTGTGCTTTTATCAGAATGACACTACTTCACCCTTCAGAAGATGAACAGAACTACCCAGACCTCTTGGCTGGTCTTTTCTGGGTTGATTAGTCTCTTAAATTGTGTTCAGACTTCTGAGTTTCACAGTCCAGTAAAATTTAAAAACAAAATATTATGAAACTCAAGGTAATGATAACAACTTTTTAATAATTATTTTTTTGTTGTTGAGAATATACATAGCGGAATATACACCAATTCAACAATTTCAGTGACACTGATTACCTTCTTCAAGGTGTGTGACCATTCTCACCCTCCCTTTCCAATCTCTTCCTTCCCCACTAAATAAACTCACTGCCTCCTAGGCTCCCGTTTAATCTTTAGAGTTGTTGTCAGTTTGATCCCATTTAGATCATTCTTAAAAGAACACAGTGCTCTAGACAGACACTCTTTACTAGTTAAGTTAACCTATTGTTTGGTTTTAAGAAGATTTCGGGAGATATTTTTAGTTTAAGGTTTCAAGATTATTTCAGGGCAATAGTTTCAGGTATTCATCCAGACTCCATGACTCCAAAAAGTCTACAGTCCATGAGAATAGGAAATTCTGTGCTACATTTTCCCACATTTGATCAGGATTCTTCTATACAATCTTTAATCAAAACTTTCAGTGATGGTAGCTAGGCACCATCTAGTTCTGGTCTCGTAGAAAAGGAGGCAATTATTCATGGAGACAACTAGCCACATTCCATTTCTTCCTCCTTCTTGACTCTCGTTCTTCCTCTATTGCTCCAGGCAAATAGAGTAACTTTTATTTTGTCTACTAAGGATGCTGGGAGCTCGGGTAGCATAGTGCCTAAGGCATTTGACTGCTAACGAGAAGGCTGGCAGTTTAAACCTGCCAGCCACTCCTCGGAAGAAAGGTTGGGCAATCTACTTCCGTAGTGATACTGCCTTGGAAACCCAAGGAGGGGTCATTATGAGTTGGGTCTGACTTGATGGCACATAACAACAACACTAAGGATGCCACAAAACCAGCCATCTACCATTCCTAAAATGTCATAAAATAAAGTATATTTTAACTCCCAAAAGAAGAAAAAGAATCATCTCAAAATGAAGAATAGCTTTTTAAATTGTAGTCATATAACTGTATGAAAACTCAATACTCTTTCCTTATTTTCTCATTTTGCTCTGAACCATGTAAATTTTACCATCTATTCACTGACATTTGGAAATGACATGCCCAAGCCCTCAGCTCAATGTTTTCTCCAGAAGTTACTGAGAGGTTTTGAAGTTTGACTTCTTGAGGCTTACCAGTTCTTTTCAAAAGGAAAATAGCCAATTGTGAAAGGAAAGCAAGAACTGATGCTTAGCTGCCCACAGGTGCGGCTCTGTGCTAACATTGTATATACATCTTAATAGACTTCACAAGCACTCTTCCTAATAAATAATATTGTCCTCATTTAGCATATGAGAAAGTTTAAGTCTGAAGATGTTAACTGGTCCACCATACATTGAGTGAGCAGCAGAATATGAAGCCCAAAACAGTTGAACTCCAGAATCTATACTCTTTCTATCCTACCTTTATTATTATTATTATTTCCAGGATTTATTATTTTTTCTGTATACACCATAAAACCAAACTCACTGCCATTGAGTCCATTCAGACTCATAGTGATTCCTCCTTGGGTTTCCTGGATGGTATGTCTTTGGAAGTAAATTGCCCAGTCTTCCTTCCTAGGAGTGGCTGATGGATTTGAACTGCTAGCCTTCTGGTCAGCAGTCAAATGCCTTGGGCACTATGCCACCAGAGGTCTTGGTGATAGGCTGGCTGAGTCTGCTTTTTCATCCAGATGTTCAGTGTTGCCTAGGTTTATTGTGAATGTGGTGGCTGTATAGGTGGGTTGAAGGCTGGGGAGGTGTGGAGTTTCAGAAATTGAAGAAGCCAGGGAATAGTGAGGGTGACAGTGTCAGTTCTGCTGAGTGGAACATTCTGTTACTTGACTCGTCCTAGTGTTTGCCACGATTCAGAGACCAGATCCCTCCACCAGGAGGATTGATTCTCTACAACCTCCTCACACAGCCCTTCAGCATACACAGAGCTAACAGACATTGACATTCATACAACATCTTCTGCTAGGAATCACCTGGCCCAGTATGGAATTAGCTGGTGTCTTCCTACTCCTGGATTTCATAGGCAGCAACTCTACTGAATCTGGCAACCAAATTTATGAATCCAAACCCCTCAATATTTATTGCAGGGAACCATGACATTGTCCTCACTGAGCCTTAGCACCTATGAAGAAGCCAAACAAGGTCTATTAAACCCCTCTCTCTTGGTTGGAACTTTTAGCAGCTAATTTTGCAGACACTCGAAGGATTCTGGGTTGCCATTTTCTTGTGTACTTTGCCTGTGCTGTAAGGTTGTCTACTATTTTAATTAGAGACACTTAATTGCAGGTGTGTGCTTTGTTTTGCAGGTGTGAAACTGCTCAGGGAGGAGAGACCCAAAGTGATCATGGAAGATGATGAAAAGGATGGTGACAAGATAGCTATTTAAAGATATTTCCCCTGAGACCACTTGTAAATAGGTTAGATTAGTTCCCTATGGTGACCTAGAAAAAAAATAGACTTGTGTCTGCTCTCATTTTGTTATAGTTCACCTTTAAATCCAGACACCTTTTCCCCATGAGATACTATATTTGATTGCCACTTGCCTTTTCTCTCTCTTTTTCCTTGAGTCTGGTTTTTATGCGGTGCCATTCCCACCCTGTGAATTTTCAATGCGGTGGAAAAGAAGTGGATCATCCTAAATTAAGAGTAACAGAGAAAGATCTGGTGTTCAGCTTCTGCACACTCTAGATCAATTCCTGGAGCAAAGAACATGAATAAGATGGGGCTTTATTATCTTGTAGCTCCACACCACTGCTGGGCAGGACTTGGTTTAGCAGCATCTAACTAATAGCCCAATGATGGGCTCCTGATTGCCAGTTAGGGAGGTGAGAATATTTGGATTCTAACTCACTGATTGCTTTGGTGAGCAAGGTATTTCATTTCCCTTGCCCTATCTCAACAATCCAAGTGTCTTAGGTGACCTTCCTAAGATCCTTGTAATAGATACCCTAAAGGTGAATATATGAGGTGGAGGAGACAACCCAGTCAACCATATCTTGAAAAAAATATCAGAAGCAGGGAGTGCTGGTACGTCTGGGAAGCTTAGGAATAAGTCTTCATTTATTTTATTATTAAAAACAACAGTTCTTAACCATGTTGCTGACAGTTGTGAATTTTGTAATAAGTCATTCATGTCTAATAATAGGTAAAATACCAACATTTGTGATTGATTTCATTTTTGAAAAATTAATTCAGGTCATTTTTATGTTTTCATCACACTCATTTATTTAGACTTTCATATGCTTTCTTGGAGAGGAGAGAAAGATGTTGTATTAGCTAGTGAACAGGAGTGTGTGAATAACCCCTGCCCCAAACTGCAGTCTATGGATACCAATGGAAGGGCTTCACACATGGGCTTCATCTATCAGGTGATACACATGAAGACAGGAGAAACTATTGTTAAAAAGAAGAAAGGTGGATATTCAAACAGAATTATGTCTATGAATGATAATTTGGAAGCTATGTATATACCCCAGCTCCAACAGTTTGTTCATCCCTTCTTCCTGTTTGTACCCTTCACAAAGATAAAAATGATGCAAGACCCTGCTGGTAATAAAGATGCTTCTATTCAAATCTCCATGCTCTGGTGCATTTCTCCTAAAAATGTCCTATTTAGTTACAATTATAAAGAACTGAGGTTACAAAAAGAGAGTTTTAGTCCACAAAGATTTTTAAATCAGATGCTAATATTTAACAATCAAGGGACTTCAAATAAACTGTATGTAAATTTAAATAGAATGTAAATCAAATAAAATACAATTTAGATAAAGTTTTCAGATCTCAGATAATCATCTCAAGACCTGGCAACCCTGGATCTGGTTATCAACATGGCGCATACTAACTGGAAGTAAGCACTCTATGTCCTTTTAGAAGGAACATGCATTTTATAGTTTGCAGTATCCCCCAGCCAGGTTATGTCACTCATCCACTTCACCCTCTAGATTCCTGATGACACCGGTTTGGAGCCCTTAGTAAAGACCCACCTTTGTGTCCCTAATTATCCCTCACCAGTTTGGTTCTAGTGCTCCACTTGGATTTCTGGTGGCCCCAATCACATAAATCTTTGTGGAGAAGTGAGTAAGGTTGTGGCCAGGCTGTTGGCTGAGGCAAAAGGAGGAAACAGCTACTATAAGGTCTTCCCTGAATGAAAAAGCAATTTCAGGTATGTGGACAACAGGATTATATCACTACCAGCAGCAATTTTTATCAAGGGTTCCTCACTCACAAAACAGATGCACTGTGGGCCTAGACTTGCTATATAAACAGAGTGCAATCCTGAGTCATGCCACAAGGATGTGATCAGTAAACTCATAGGCTACTCAGAAAAGACCTTGCCTTTTCTGAGAGTGTGGAGTGGGGTGGAAAGCACATTGGTTACGGAAATAGAAGCCCTGGATTCTAACCCCAACTCTGATGCTGAGCAAGGCCTTAGAACTCTCTGAGTCTGTTTCTTTATTTTTAAAATGAAGATAACACTTGTGTGTGTGTGTGTGTGTGTGTGTGTGTGATTTGGGTGAAATTTTACAGAGCAAATTCATTTTCCATACAGCAGTTGACACACATTTTGTTTCATGACATTGACTGCAATTTCCCAGAATGTAACAGCTCTCTTCCCACTTCATCCCTATAGTTATAAAAGATAATACTTTGCCTTCTTCATAGTTTGAGAATTTAATAAGATAATATGCAGCAAAGGACGTTGTAAGCCAAAAGCCCTTGCACAACTGTAGTACAGAATAAATTTAAGATGTCTTTAAAGCATAGAAAGCACCTTTTCCATCACTGGATCTCTATTGTCTGGGTCATAGTAGATACTCAATAAACAGGTATTGAGTGAATAGCAATTACATGGAATTTACTCCAAGCATTTGAACAAATACTTCAAGTAGGGAGATCACATCACTATTACCCCCTTAACTAAAAGACTAATCATCCACTTCCCAGGCAATTAGTCTTTGTAATAGAGTCCCACCAGCCACTCCTCAGAAGGAAGATGGGGCAATCTACTTCCATAGTGATACTGCCTCGGAAACCCAAGGAGGGGTCGCTATGAGTCGGGTCTGACTCAACCGCACATAACAACAAAAATAAACAAATAGAGTCCCAGCCTCAAAGGAGTGTACAAAGAATGGTGAGGGGCAAAATCAGTCAAAACATCCAACCAACTCTGAACATGGTTGAAGTCACTGCCTCTCATTTCCCCTAGCTCCATGTGGCCCCTTTTTTGGGCACATAAAGTGAAAGTCAGTGGTTCAGTGGGAGAATTCTCACTTTCTGTGAGGGAGACCTGGATTCAGTTCTCAGCCAGTGCACCCTATGCATATCTACCACTTGCCTCTCAATGGAGACTTGAGTGTTTCAGTGGAGGTTTTAGACTAAGATGGACCAGGAAGAGAAGACCGGTGTTCTCTTTCCACAAATCAGCTAATGAAAGCCCTAGTCTCACAACAGTCAATGTGCAAATGATCATGGGAATGGCAGAGGACTAGTCAGGGTTTCATTCTGTTGTGCATGAGATCACCATGAGTCAGGGGTCTATTTGACAGCAGTTAACAACTACAATGATTAGGATTATGTTCCAATTAAAATAGTTTTTAGTCAATTGTCAAGAATTTGCCCCCAAATAGTAGTTATATTAAGAAAATATCAGCCCATTGGTAAAGGAAGAATCCCAACAGAATGGACAAACCAGGTAAATTCATTCTAAAGGCATTTACCTCAACCCAGGCCATCAGAGATGAAGGCTTTAGATCTGAGAGATTTAATTCCTTCAAAAACCCCACACAGGCTTTAACTCCAGACACCCTTTAAAAGCTATTGGCTGAGATCACACAGCCAACTTCTAATACCTAATTATCACTTGAAGAGGCACTTGAAGCTGGTGCTGAAAGGTGAGGATGGGACCATAAAGGACTCAAGCAGTGTTTCCTTTTAAATGCAATTAGTGAAATTCCCCTCCCAGCCTGGTTGTCCAAGATGCTTTTTAAACAAGGATAGACTGAGATACCATGTGGTTTTGAAAATAAGTTAGTCAAGCAATTATTTTTCCTCACTGTGAATAAGAGGCTAGTTGCATGATGGATTGTGTGGAGCCTCTGTCATCTTGTGTAAATGAGTCTCCCTTGCCACATGCAATTTGTAAGTGTGAAAGTGTTACTCAATAAAATCCCCAAGGCAGTGAGTGAGTACACAGAAAATTGATGAACTGAGAATATTCTCTTCCTGTTCTCCTGGGCATGGAATTGCTTTTGAATGGCTTTGACATATAATCCCTGCAGAGGTTCTGAACACTAGGATGACCATCATTGCTGACCCAAAAATCAAAGCAGAAGACTCCACAGATATGTATATTTATGGAGAAAACAATGTATTATTTGAAATCAGCTGGTGGCGTAATGCCTAAGGCATTTGACTGCTAACCAGAAGGTTGGCAGTTCAAACTCACCAGCCATTCCAAAGAACGAAGACTGGGCAATCTATTTCCATAAAGATTTACTGCCTCAGAAACCCAAAGTGGGTCACTATGGGTTGGAATCAACTTTCTAGCAGTGAGTTATTGTTTTCTTTTTCTTTTTGGTACCCTGTGTGGTTGTTGGGAGCACTGGTGACATAGTGCCTAAGGCATTTGACTGCCAATCAGAAGGCTGGCGGTTAAAATCCACCAGCCACTGCTTGGAAGGAAGATTGGGCAATCTACTTCAGTCGTGATACCACCTCGGAAACTCAAGAAGGGGTCACTATGAGTTGGATCCAACTCCAGGGCAGTGAGTTTGGTTTGAGATTGGTGTGGCAGTTGAGATTATGTGTCAACTTGGCTGGGCCTGGTTGAGTGACTGGGCAGCTGGTGGTAGTTATTCCCCATGATGAGACTGGCAACCAACTCCATGGTGGGATCTACCACAAGCAGCTGAGTAGCTGCTTTAGGGATGTAGACTGCTTCCCATATATAAGAAGCAGCTTTGGGAATGATCTCAAGCTTATGGCATGCTTGAACCCTGCATATAGCCATGTCGTTGTTCAACAGCCTGCCATGCTCTGCTGATCTTGAGACTTTTAATGCACTTGAATTAATGTCCTGCTGTGTGATTTGGTAACATCGAAACTGTGATTTTTTACTTGTCAACCTTGGGTTTGTCAGCCTCAGCAGCCAGCAGCTGTCAGAGTGAAGAAAAGCAGCTGTCAGAGTGAAGAAAAGCATACAGCTTCAGTGGGCTGGGAGCAGGAGTCAGAGCTGAAGCTCAAGGTTGAGGAGCTTTTGCCCAACCCCTAGAGCCTGACACTTTGAACTCAGACTTAAAGCCTCCAAACTGTAAGAGAATAAATTCCTGTTTTTTAAAGCCATCTCATCTGTGGTATATTCCTGTCAGAACGGTACTAGGTAACCAA